GGTCCCCTCCCCCTATGAACATCAGCAGTCTCTGCTCAATGCCACTCGGGGGGGCCAACGGCATATCTCTAAGTGGCGGGCACCAAGCTTGCCCAGGAAGGTACATGAGGCCAATGGGGATTGAACCCAGAACCTCCTGAATGCTACTTGCGTGCCTTACCAACTGAGCTGGGACGCTGGATCAGATCCAAGTTCAATCCCAGTTGGGATCAAAAAAAGACTCGAACCAGTTCTTGATTTGTGCGTGTCATCCTTGCACAGGGGTCATCCTAGCTCCGCGCGGCTGATCTCAGCCGCAAGATCATACGATCGATCGGCCAAGATCGGCCGCGCTCGGATGCCTTATGAAAAGGCCAGCTCCAAAAGGAGCAACTCCTGTTTGTGAAGAGTTGTGCCCAGCAGTCCCCTCCAGCTTGTAGCACAGCAGGCCCCACATGTCTGCCTGTCTGCCGCTCCCCCGTGGATGGCTGCCCATCTACGGCCTAGGGGTCACCCAACGGGTAGGCCGCGACATCGACCTGCCGGCCCCCTCTGGCTCGAAGTCAACCCCCACGTCCCAGGAAAAAATAAAACTCCCTTTTTCCCCTGCGCTACGACCCTATTCTAGGTAGACTAGGTCTAGCTTTAGTCTTTCCATTTCGGGGCACCACCGCGGCCTTGCCGAAAACCACGGACGACAGTACCGACTCCCGTAACCCACACGGACGTCGATGTCATCTTGTGTCGACGACGTCAGATTCAGAAAAAGCTTAAGTCTCTCAATCATAAGGCTGGTCTGAATAAACTTTGGCAACGTCAATCTCATCAAGTCGTCCAATTTAGTGGAAAGGTCAAACAGCGTCCGACGTTGAAAAACACGGGCAGATACCCTTGTCAGGGTTTTTGCCCCGACACTTCCAGCCGCGAATCATGGTATTCGCCAAGGAGGCGAGTGCGCAAGACGCGGTCTTGGGGAACACACAACAAGTCCTTGCCTCGTGTATGAAGACGCAAGTAGCTGTCGACAATGCGATAGTTGCTTGCCGGCGGTTGATCCGATGATAGTGTGGAGAATCTCGGATCCGACTTGTAGCCGTTTACGAAGTGCTGTCGCAGGTTCTCGTCGAAGTCGAATGTGGAGTGCACCAAGGCGCAAAGATTAGGTCTTTGCGAGAGAGCATCCGCTGCCTTGTTCGAGGAGCCCGGAATGTGCTTGGAGGTGAAGTCGAACTGGTCAATGAAGTACATCCATTGCCCGCTCGTGCTGCTCACCGTGTCTTGCGCCTTGTAGTACGTCAACGGATTGTTGTCCGTTGCCCACGTGAATCGCCGACGCCCGAGGAGAAAGTGACGCCAACGCTTAAGCACAGTGACAAAAGCTAGGAGTTCCTTCTTCCTTGCATGATCGAGAGTGTTGATGGGCGGCACCTTTTGGCTGAAGTAACCGGATGCCAGCCTGTGCCGTCATGCTGTTCCAAAACCGCGCCAATGCCATAACTGGAAGCGTCCGTAGTCACTTTGGTGGGCAATGTCGGGTCATAGATGCTTAAGACGGGAGCTTGAAGCAAAGCCGTCTTCAGCGTGTGAAACGCATGCCAGGCCTCGTCGCTGAACTCGAAGGGCACCAAGTGGGACTGAAGTCGCGACAATGGTGCAGCGATACGTTGGAATCCTTTGACGAAGCGCATGTAGTATGATGCCAAGCCGAGAAAGTCCGGCCAATCTTGAATAGCTTCTACCTTGTCCGCGAGCAGCCGAATGCCTTGCGGCGTAACGTAATGGCCCAAGTACTCCAGCTCCTGCTGGGCAAACTCGCACTTGTCACGGTTTGCCTTGTACTTCGTGATACAAAGCCACTCCAATATGGCGCGAAGGTGCTCGAGGTGCTCGTCCAGCGTCCGGCTATAAACCAAGATGTCATCGAGGTAAATGAGCATGGTGCGGTCGAGTAAGTCGCGGAATTCCGTCGTCATAGCCGCTTGGAAAGTAACCGGGGCATTGGTGAGACCGAAAGGCATGACGATCCACTCAAAGTGCCCATACCGCGTCTTGAATGCGGTCTTGTACCGATCTCTTGGCTGAATCTCGATCTGGTGATAAACGGACTTGAGGTCCAACTTGGAGAAGTACTTGGCGCCGCCTAGTCACTCGAGAAGATCATCGATCCGAGGGAGAGGGTTGGCGTTCTTGATCGTTTGCGCATTTAGTTTACGATAGTCGATGCACAACCGAAGGTCCTTGTTCTTCTTTCGGACAAAGAGAACGAGAGCACCGTATGGCGAGCAGCTAGGGCGAATCCAGCCCTTGGCCAAGAGGTCGTCTAGTTGTGCCCGAAGCACTTGGAGCTCCTCTTCGCTCATGCGGTGAATACATCCGCGTGGAGGTACGGCGCCGTCCTCGAGAGTTCCCGTGACGTATGGGCCGATCCGGTACGACTCCGGCGGGAGCTTGGAAGACATCCTCATAGCTTCCAAAAGCTCAATGATGTGTGATGGATCCGTCTTGGGCTGATCACCAGGTCGGAGGGCGTGAAGAAAACATATGCCCATCTCCTCGATGTCGTTCCGCCGGATGGATTGGCGAATGCTCGCCGCGGATACCACGTGACAACCAATCGAAGGATGAGGAAGTGGCACCGTACACGGGAATAGTTCGCCGCGCCGATCACGAACGTGAACGGTGCGTCGATGGAAGTTCACCGGATGGTCTTCGCTTTGCAAACACGACATGCCTAGGATCATATCGAACTTGGTGTCCAATATGTCGAATGACACGGCCTCGCATGCTAGCGGGGCAAAGTACACGGGCACCGAGTCAACGCATCGGTCGATTGACTTTTGCGTCTGACCATCGGCCAACGTGACGTGTGTAGGCTGACTTTTCCTTCAAACGCGCGGGCCAAGCCCAGCGCGTGCCATGAAGTCTTGGCTGATGTAGTTGCGAGTCGCTCCACAATCGATCAAGGCACTGCAGGTCGCCTCTCCGATCTGAATGCGGATGTAGGCACGTCGTTGTCGACGTACCGTTGCGTTGCGTACTCGCGGTCGATCTTCGCGAGGTAATCGCGGAGGTCAACAACCGCTAAGACTCGCCCAAGATGACGGATCCTCCGATAGAAGGGCTGGCGAAGCAACCGGTTCGTCGTCCGATGGCGGAACTGTGGCGCATACGCTTGAATCTTGCACGTGGAGAGGCTGGTTCAACGGCGGGACCAGCTCGACAACATAAGTCTCGAAGTCAATCCGAGAACTTGCGACTACCTCGGTGTCACCGGATGTGAGAGAGGCTGCTAGCAAGGCAGCCAACTCCGGCGGACTGGGGAGTGTTGTCGCGGCACTTCCCGCGGTGCTCAGTTTCCCGAGCCCGGACGTTTGACATTCTCCTTGTCCTTGTCGAGGCAGGCGCTGGTGATGTGTTTGGTGCTGTTGCACCACAAACAAGAACCCCATTTCTGTCGTAACTTGAACATTTCTTCGGTGATGCCGAACTTCGTCCATGGTGCTTGTCGTGCTCCATCCGCCGACGCTTCTTTCGCCTTCTTTCCCCCTCGGGGTTTCGTACGTCGCGGTGGTATCACCACCGCCGCATCTCCATCACTTGATGTTGAAGCGGATGCGTGGTCCACACTTGGTCCTTGTTGGACGGCGGCAACATGCGGCGTCTGTTGACCTTTTCCTTTCTCCACGTAACCGGGCTGCGGACGAGCCTCATTAGCCGCACGCCGGTTACCTTGTATAAGTTCTCTAGCTTTGGCGATCATGTCGTCAAAGTTCTTATACTCGAATTCGCTGCCGAGAGCAGATGTCAAGGCGTCGCAAGCTCGGGCGAAGAACTCGCCTCGGATTGAGTCGAACGGCAGGTTCAACTCCAGGGTGGCGACGAGTCTTTGCCACTCCGCCAGCCATTCCCGTGAAGGTTGCTGGCCTTGGAAGATGTGGAAGATCTTGTTCAAGGCGTGACGCTTGTCGTTGTTCACCATGAACCGGGTCTTCCACTTCTTTTAAAACTCCTCCCGCATGATCTTCGTGTGGAGGGTGGCGATGGTACATTCGAGCGTGACGACCATGTGCGTCATGAATGCTTGCGCCCCGCCTATAAGTTGGAGGTACAATGCGTCCATCCGCCGTAGGGTCGGAGTATGATGTACGTCGGCCTCCGCGTTGAACGCCATCCACCATTGTAGCGGATCAGTCTTATGGTAATCGTCGAACTTCTCGATCTTGAAGTTCGGCATCTTCCATTCCTTGGCGGCTGCTCGTTGCTGGACTTAATCGCTGAGCGTCTTCAATTGCCTGCTGACTGTCGAGGTTCCGGCAAACTTGCTGATGTCGCCAAGGGATCCGACGATGTGATTGATCCGCTCATCGAGCTGTTTGGCTTGCGCGGCCAAAGCTGGGCTGCCGTCTGAAACTGCACCGCCAGTTGACTCAACTGCGGATAGTCGTGCCATCCCGGCATCGACGGAGTCCTGCAATCGGTCGTTGATGGCCTGCTGTTGGCTGTCGGCGGCCTGCAGCATGCCAGTGTCGGCCTGCAGGGCAGTGATGTTCTGATCCATTGCCTTGAAGATGCCTTCATGGCGGATGAGGACCGGCCGCATAGCCAACAGTTCACGTTGCTGCCCATTGCACGTGTACAGCAGGTTCTCAATCAAGACTGCTGTAGTTTCCCTGTTTCTCTCGTCCTCGGTCCGTACTTCTTGTTCCTCAGCTGCTCGGAAGTGTTGTTGTCGAAGTACTCTGCCGTATGCGGCTTCTTCGTTGAGAAGGTTCATGGCAGCCTGGTACCGAGCCTGAGTCTGACTTGCCTCGAGCTGCTCCTGCTGCAGCCGTGCGGCTGATGCAGAGTCGGCAGCGGCCTTCTGACGTGCTGCCTGTTCCGCTTCTTGTTGGAGTCGGATGGCTTCCCGTCGGGCGGCATCCTCCTTCTCCCATGTGCGGAGTTCGGTGGCAGTGGTCTCCGTATACTGTTGGAGACGCTCGAGAAACGCGAGTGCATCTTCATCTGCCCGTTGAACTGGCACAGGAGGGGGAACCGGCCTCTTGGGACTGCCCGGCATGTTGCTGTCGGCGTGGCCGGCTGCTGCAGCCATGGCTGTGCGTCGCTTGCGCGGAATCTGTGGTGCCTTGGGTCCCTGTTGGGGCTTGGCTGCCTTGGATTCGCGCTCTGCCAATCGTTGGCTGCGGCGCATTTAGTGTCCGGCTGCACGTTGCTGCTGATGTGGCACTGTGCTGACGTGGCACTCTGCTGACGTGTCCGGAGACTGCAGTCCGTAGGACCGAGAGGAGGAAAGAGAAAGTAGGGGTGGGAAGAAGGGAGGGCAGGCAAGCAATGCACACACAGTCCCGTTCCGCCCTGACCTTGACACTAATCAA